AACTAGGCGGTTAATAAAACGACCTAAAATACTGGTGTTAAATTCGGTATACCCGCAAGAAACGTTCAAAACCTGACCAATAAACTTTTTAAAATGGGGTAAGAGGAAAATAAATAGCGTCGGATTCATACCTTCTCGACCCCCCCCCTCAAGAAACTCGTTAATTTTCCTATCAACTTTAAATAAGACGTTTTAATGGGAAGTTAAATTTTGAAAATCTAGATAGCACTTACTATGTAGGTAGGTTTTACAGTGCTTACTATAAAGTGTCGGTGTAATGTTGACCGGCAGCAATGGCCCATATTTTATAGGACAATGGGATTTGTGTTGGTGACTCGGAGAATTTGTCGGCATTATAACACAAGCTGTAGAACATTTTGATCTGATCCGAATTTATCATTGGAACACTAAATAACTGCTCATTGTTGCAGATTCATTTCGATTGGTTAGTTGAAGATTGTTTTGTACGCTTATCACTACTCTTCGTTGGTTGAAATCTTGTTTGTTTTTCAACTGGTAAAATAAAAAATACTCGACGTGGAAAGTAGTTAATTTATTGATGGTTACCCTAAAACTAATGTCAGAGGTACTTTTTATTTAATGTCGAAACCCCATGTTTTTTTCTAAATGTTACACCTCTTGAACAGGCACATTCAGCACTTGTTTTCCTATACACTGTTCAGTGGACAGTAACAGTCAGAAAGCCAACGGTTAACTGGGGATGAATATTTCCTTTCTATATCCCAGTCCATCCCCAGACTGAAATGTAAATTGACCTTTTGTGTTGTGCAGACATCAGTTACTCACTCAGTATTAGAATGTGTTAGGCTTCTATATCTAGGTTCAATGGCCGAAAGTGATATGACAGTCTGTAAAATTTTATTTTCTAACTAGAAGCCCAAAGCGAAGCTTTAAGTAAGCGGGGGGGGGGAGATTTCCAAAATCTGGCCAAAATGAACCATAACTTGCCTAATTCTAAAACAACGGATTGAATAGTATTAACAAAGTAAATTATTTTGCTGAATGACATAATTTGAAGAATTTGTTTTAGGAATCAACAAATAATAATAATGATAAAAGCTAACTATATTGTTAGCGGCGGATGTTGTTGACTAGCTGTCTTCCCCCTATCGCTTAAAAAGTAGGGACGGATAACGCAATGGTCCTTGAGTAACTTTACGCGAATACTCCGAAAACAAAGGTCGCTACTTCTAAGACCTTAGTAGTTAAAAGCAAGTACCAAATACATCTTTAATCAACATGAAGTTGTTTTTCGGTTTGCTGGTTTGGGAAGAATACTTAATGAATTGATTGAAACAATAGCGCTGATGTTACACACAACGCCGACATGCAAATGAGGAAAATGAACAATGTATCCCCTCAAAGCCTCTGTCAACGCAACCATAGAGTTCTTGATGTTGCTTGTGGACCCATATTAGTCAGTGACGTACGAGTTTTGTTTTTAAGTCTTCTTTATGCATCTCATCCTCGACCCTACTTAGAATCCACGATGTCTTCTATAATCGGATATATTTTATATAGCATTTCGCTCATGGTGTTGTTTCTTTCTTGTTCAATAACCACTTAAACTTCTCTAAGTGTTACCTTACTAATGCTAAGAGCTTTCCATAACTTTTTTACTTTCTAAGCTTTTCAATTTCTTGTCATGTTTTTTCAACATCTCGTTCTTCCTCTTATTCTCCACTACTGTTACGGGTAAAAATTTTTCATAAGTGAAAGAACACCATATAACATTTGAGTCCTATCTTTCATTTTTATTAATTCAGTACAATATCATATTTAATGTTCTTTTCTATACTAGTAAATTGCGTAACGCCATAAGTTAAAGTGCTTTTTCACTTCAACGTGAAGCCGGAATTATTTCCGTTTTGGGTTTGGGCGGAAGAGTACAACGGAAATAAGTCGCATGAGCAGAAGTAGACAGTTGTGTTTAGGTCCGAGTCCTACGTTTCGAACTCCAGAAGTTCAGTTTGTCTTTAACCATGAATTTTATAGTAACGGGAGTTTTTTTATGGTAAATACAATATATAAAATTGGTTGTGAAGCTTTAATAATTGTAAAGGTTGTTAGTGTGATTAACTTGTGTGGATATTGTTACATCTGTTTAAAATCGAAGATTTCACAGCTGTTTAATTTCTGAGTTGTTGCTCTTTAGGTACGAAAGTGCTCGCCAAGTGAACGCAATTCGCTTGCTCAACTGATTGACACGAAGACGTTTGTAATTATCATAGATCTGGCCTAACTCAGCGGCGTTTCAATAAACTTAACTATTGTTTTTCGAATTATACCTTTTTAGATTCCGGCTGCTACATCTTCTGTGAATATTGAAACGTGTAAGGATTTATCTTGCGCTTAGTATCGAAAATTGTCTAACGAATCGTATTATTTCTCGTTTCTCTAACGTTACAAGAACAACTTTCTGTAGGACAATGCTATAGCCTACAAGTTATGAATTAACGGATGATTATGAAGTCTGAATCTTGCAGACCTCTATTTGATATTAGTGGCCCACAGGTTAACGCGTGCCAGCCTGTGGAGCTAAAGTCCAGTGGATTTTGTTTCGTTACCCTTCTCCTGAAAAATCGTGATCTGCAGTTTAGGGACGTGGGTGAATATCAGATCCTACTATTGGGTCTAACAAGTGTTGTCGGTGGGGGAAGTTTTTATCATCTCTGTAGACTACCAATTTAAAATTAGGGACGATTAGCGCAGATAGCCTTTCGTAATCTTTGCGCGAAATCCAATAAAACGTATATTTGTTACAGAAAGTTTTGCATGAGATCCCGTATGTCTTATGAACGTGTTTGTTCTATTTGTTTGAGATTCTTCTACTTTACTGTAAAGCATAATATTTTTTAACAACGATATCAATATACAGTTGTGAACAATATTAAAGGAGTGAGAGTACCTAACATTTGTTAAGCACTTCAAATCGGTGTTTACAATTTACCCAGTTTGAGGTTAGTCATAGCACCCTGAATAATCCTCGAGGACATTGGTTCAGAAAACTAGTGCAGGAATATCCGCTGGGTGTCGCAGGGTATGAATCGTTAGGGTAGTATGACAGAAGCGCTAGTGTTAACTACAGTTCCCGCTACAGCCTAAAGTTGCAAGGAAGTGAGTATAGTCCTCGGTGTATTTCTTGACTAAAGAAATATTAATTTTAATTATTTTTTAAATAAAATATTTGAAAATATAGTAAATCTTAAAGGATGAACAGACGACCAACCAGTTTAACAGAGCGAGTCGTCTTCAGGTTTCATTACTAAAAATCTGAGTGAAATACCACTTCTTACTATTTAAGCAAATCAAGACGTTCATTAGTTATAATTACAAGATAAAACAGAATTCTGAAGAACTGCGTAGTTATTTCAGTTGCTTCGAGTATCAAGAAAAAAAACAAACTTGATAGTAATAGAGATTTTAGCTACATTGGTTATATCTGCATTCTTTCTATAGCTGTAGTCTTTGGTAAGATGGCGGGATATGAGCAACTTAAATTATGTAAAACACTATAAAAGTCCAGTATAAACTGGCACAATTATGATATTTGTGGCTTTTATTCGCATTGTTTTAATCTACGCATTTGATACAGCCTGAAACAAACTTGTTTTATTCTGTTTTGTATTGTATGTGTATTTGTGTTTAGTTGCCGTTTGTAGGGGATCACCACAACGTGGGTATCTTTTGTGTAAAATACAAGTCAAGTGGGTTACCTTTTACGCTAACAAACCCGCTCCTGTTTCAGCTAAACCACTAACTTGCCACCAGTAAGAGGTCTACAAAGGAGTAGCATACATTTACAAAATCATAACTAATACTGTGAAAACCCACACGCATACAAAGAGGACTATGGTGTACTATTTTCAGTGTTTAGTTAGTATGTAGTTGGAGCAAATATGACACCTGTATATTGGAATCGTGTTCATGGAGGAGAATGACTAGTATGGCGACACTTTAATTCATCATTGTCCAACACTGGGCATTGAATAGAATAAACAGCCCATCATTAATATTTTTTTTATGCTGTGGCTTGTAATCTGGGTCACGAGGTTAACAATCTAAGACTGACTAATCCTCAGGAAAAATAATTAAAGTTTTAAAATGTCTCGCCTCTGAGTTCAACCCCATTTCATTTGTAAACGATAATACGTTAGTTTGGTTACGTCAGTTTTCCAAGTAACTAATTTCATTAATTTAGAATAACATTAAATATCTGAAAATGTCCATTTATTGATTACTTTTGCAACGATTATAATATAATTAGCTTTCTGATATTCCTAACTGACTCACAATTCCGAAGTTTTCTGCGATGATTGAATCAAACTTCCCAAAACATACTTGTAGATCTAGGCTTTTGAAGAATAAATGATGCTGAAAGTTCTAAAAGTGGTATATACGTGTATTTATCTTGAGTGGTAGTACTCTATAGAACTTAATCTCGTAGCTTCAGTCATGTTTTCAAATGTTACAAATAAGACCTGAAAACAACACTTACAACAACGTGTAAAATTAAATGTGGAGTTTTTGTTGAAACTTGTTACTTTTCCGTATTTCAAAGATTGACTCACGATAATTTACAGAACTTAAGTATTTCTTCGTATTTTATTCACGTACATAAAAACCAGCTATATGTTAAAATTTAATCATGATTATTAAACGTAGAGTACACACAAACGTAAGATCGAATTTATTAAGCCAAGGTTTAAGTCTTCATAGCACATGAACAACGTTGAGCAGAATAAATAAAGAAATGAGACTGCTGAAAGGATGTAAGGACACGGCTTCCACTCGAGTTCATAACACTGCTGTATACTTCATTTCCATGTATTTTTTTTGGGGGGGGAAGGCTTAAGTTCAAGTAGATTACTGCTTTATCCTTATTTTCAGTCTTAACTGTTGTGTCAAAAGCTAACTAATTGCAGTTTCAAAAATATTAATATTAAACTAACTGATAAGCTTAGTATCTCGAGGTATTCTTCGCCTTCTGTGTTTTTAATTTAAGAATTTCATTTCGTGTAAGTACTTAATGTTTAAATATTAACTTTCATTTTAAGACGACCAAAAGTTACTTCATGATAATTTAACAACTTCAAACCTCTGTACAAAAATTGTAAAAAAAAAGGCCTGACTGGATGCGTATGCTAATCATATTTTATTTCAGCCTTATAATCATACTGAAGCTACATTGTCTACTAGGAGTGCACTTTGCTTTCTCATTTACCTTGTAATGAATTGAGATGTATTTTCGAACAATCGCCCCATCTTGCTAATTATTATATTGAATGGTTTACATTATTAATATTTTATAGAAATTCTTCCTGTTACTCCTGGCCACTTTTACCAAAAAGTACTTACTCACTTTAGCCTGTCATTTAGATTTTAGAATACGTGCACTCTTAGACAGCTCAGTCTTGTTCACCACAACCAACTTTAAGAGTTTCTTTAGTTTTGATTCCTACTTTAGAAGGCAACGTGCATTTGTTACAGTCCTCGATTTTCTTCAGTTAACCCTTTGGTCGAGTACTATATGTGCTCAAGTATTTACTCGTAAAGTGAAAAGTTGTGATTCAATTCCAAACCCTTGAAATTCAAATAAGGAAATATTTGCTAACCAAATCTTTAAATTTGGGCTTTGTACTCTATTTTTCAGAATTTCGAAGCTTTTGTAAATACCGTAACTGATCTTGAATTTAACAAGTTATTAATCTTAGTGTATTTAAATGGATATTTTTTAATTACACATTTTTGTCCACTCTTTTTTACGATGAGAGAGATTATTTTTCTAACTTTGCAAAGCATTAAAATTTGCACCAAGAATTAATAATATTTTGATACTAAGTTTAACTTATTTTCTAGAAAATTTAGAAAGGTAAAAGGAAAGTTGTTTTAGCTATAGAATAATCTGAACTTGGCGCAACAATTGCCGGAAAACGTTATTATACAGTTCCTTAGGCCTACTGTGACTTTCTCTACCTAATTTTTCTGTCTACTGCACACACTTCTAGTAATAAGCTGCTTACCTAACAACAACAAAAAAACAAACTTTTATGCTAAGGTTTGAAATAAAATGGTTTCGTTAATTCAATCGGTAATATTTATTGGCAGTTAATATTCTAGTCGGTGCTTTGTATGAGTAATGTGCATTTTTTTCTTCTCTTAAACAATTAGTCTTTTCTAACAATGAATTTTATGCTATAAATTAAGACTTTTCTCTCTCATGCGTACACATGAAATTCCTTTATGCATGGATCCCAAGGACACATCATTGGTAGGTTAGAGTCCCGCGCCTAATAAGGGTGTGTGATTACGTCATAGAGCAAGATAACTAGTACTCTAGTTAATAGGCTATGTTTCTCTTGTAATATAGCAAGAGCTAAAACTTGAAGAAATGAGAAAAACACTGCTCTCTTATGAATACCTATTCGAAACGTCTTGTATATCGACCAAGTGGCAACGTGGGGGGGGGTTATTGTGGCGTATGAACCGTTTTCTAGTTTATGTAGTTTTTAATCGAAATTTAAATGAAATAGTTCTGTATCCTAATTAGACTTCAGATGCTAGGTACTATCACAAGTGCTTTCGTAAAGGTT